GGGGGGACTAAGGACACATATGTAATACCTTAATCAATAAAGAAATTTTTTTAAAAGCCAATGTAATTTTTTTTAAATTTGTTTTGTGGAAAATTTTAAATATATACGAACATATAGAGAATAGTATGGTAAATCTACATATAGTATCATTTAGCTTCAACAGTTATCAGCACTTGGCCAATCTTGTTTCATCTATACCCTAACTCTCCACCCCCACTGTGACCTTGGATTATTTTGAAGCCAAACCCAGACATGATATCATTTCATTCACAGTGTACCTATTTTTGATATAAGATATTTTATGTTTTAAGAATGATGTCTTTGCATGGTGTACAGTGGGTAATCTGGTCAGATTTTTTTCCCATTAGTCTTTTGTAATCAATCATGTATTAGTTTAATGATTAATCTCTCAAGACTTTTTTCTCATCTGTGTAAGTGTATGAATATAAATACACATATAGTTATATTTTATTTGTTTTGTTAAAAATAAAGACGGGTGTCATATACTCTGGATTTTATTACAAAACTGCCTTCTTCACTTATAAATTATAGAAATCTTTCTGTGACAAATCAGAGACCTGCTTCATTCTTTTTAATAGCAGCAGAGTATTTCATCAGGGATCTTTTGAGATAAAATGGAACTTTTATAAGAATGGCTTTCCCCTGTTGTTCCGTATTGGTAGTTTGCTCTAACCTGTGCTCAAATGCTGCTGTGTGCAGATTTGAGAATCATGTAGGTGAGTAATGGTGGCTCAACGTAATGCTTAAGGAAAATAGGGAACAATATATTTGTTCTGAAACCCGAAAAAGTAAATGGGTGTGTTAGAACGCTGGGCAATGAGTGTCTTTATGCATAATTGGCATCACTAAAACCTCGCAAAAGCAGGAAAACCAATGAGAGAGGTTGTTGCCAGGCTAAAACTCCAACAGAAGGCAGAAGAGATGGGTGGACAGGCGGGGGTGTCGGGCTGTGTGTAAAGGACAATATAATAACAGTAATAATCCCTTACATTTGCACACTTCACAGTTTACACAGGACTTTTATATCCATTTCTAATTTAAGCTACACAATAACCCTGAGCAGCCAAAAATATGCTATACAATTCCCCATGGGTGGACATTCTAAAATAATGAAAGTGTGGGAATAGCATTATCCTGAAGGCACTGGACAAGGTCCACGGACTGAACCAAAATGTTAAGACCAAGGAAGGTGCAGAAGCAGACTCCAGCCTCATCACACAGAAGCAGCTGACGGTCTCCTTTAGCCACGTGCTGATAAGCATCTCCCCAAGAATGGGGAATGGGTTGGTGCCAAGATAGCTACCGAAGAGCCACTTGGAGAACTGGTCCGTGTGCACATCCCCTGACCCTACCCCAAAAGATTCTGATTCAGTGGCTTCGAGATGGAGCCCAGAAGTCATGCATTTATTAAGCTCTCCTAGTGATGTTGACATGCAGCCAAGTGTTTGAACCATTGTTCTGGAGGAGTCTCAGAGGGTTTTATTGTATGGGTCCATGGTAAATTGGGCTTACTAAACCCATAAGTCAGTGGATGTGGGTAGAGGAAAGAAGGCCAACCAATCTGTCCAGGTAATCTGGTGGACAGAGTGTTTGGCAAGGGGGGAGCTTCCTTTGGGTGTAATTTCTAAAGACTTTCAAATAATATTTACAAAGTTCCACACCAAATGCTGTTTTAAAATGAGGTAGGAGTGGGGTAGAGGGGGTCAATGGGGGGGAAAGAGAGGCATCTGTAATACTTTCAACAATAAAAATAAATGGAAAGGAAGGAAGGAAGGAAGGAAGGAAGGAAGGAAGGAAGGAAGGAAGGAAGAAAGAAAGAAAGAATTGTAATTGGGGGCCGTGTTGCTATGGACAGTCCTGGCCTAGAGAGGCAACTGTTCTAGAGATGATCAAACCCTGGACGTAAAGCTGGAGGACCCCTGGTAGGGATCCAGTTTACCCAGGGCCCAGTGATGACCTTAGGCTGTGACCTCATCTCTCTGAGCCTCGCTTTCCTCCTCTGGAAAATGTCAGAGCTGTGCCATTCCCATGCATCCTCCTCCTGCAGTCTCCTAGCCCGAGCTCCTCCCAGCCTCTGATTGAATTTCTCCTTCCCCAGTTTCCTTGGTTCTCAGATTGCTCACAGGAATGTAAGCTTTTGTGTAAGTGTGTATATTCGCATGAATAGTTCTGATATATTTGGAAGACATACATACTAGTAGGTGTCCAAAATATATATATGTACATAAACTTCTACTTACTAGTCTCACCAGGAAAATTCCTAGCTTTTCATTGTTTCTTTTCTATCATGTCTTTTTTCTTTCCTGGAAAATGGATTTATGAACTAGACTTGCAACTGAGTGTTTAACTGAACCCACAAAAATGTTCACCAGCCTGAATGTTCACGTACATGTCCTTTCATGCCACATTTAAAATCTTCCCTACTCCTCCTGTTGCCCTTTGCCATAACTTTGTAATCACCTTGGTTGTAAATATTGATGCTTACCCTTGACGCTGAAGTGTTGTAAAGTGAAAAATAGAGCAAAAGAGATAAACCAAAGAACTTATATATGTATATGCAGAGCCCATGGACACGGACAATAGGGTAGTGAAGACCTAGGAGGGGAAGGGAGAAGGGGTAGGTGTTGGAAGGGAGGGGGTAAAGGGGGGAAATGGGAGATATCTATAATATTACCAACAATAAAAAATATATTTTAAAAAAACAATTTTTTTAAATAGTAGAGCAAATGGAAATAAGGAGTATGTACTAGGCTATCATGGGGATTGAGGTTCCTTATAACTAAGTTGATTTTTCATCTAATGAGGAAATGGTTTTAGTTGGGGATTTCCCTTATAGAGTATCTGTAAATGCAGCACATTAAAATGATAACCACTGAAACCCTCTTCCATTCCTTTGTAGTGAAAACATTGTTCAACCCAGCTCCCGCCACTGCTGACCTGGACCCCCGGTTCTACACCCTCTCAGATGTGTTCTGCTGCAATGAAACTGAGGTAAGGCTAGACGGTTCTGCGCATTCCAGGAGAAACCAAAGACTTCCATGCTAGTGAATGAAGCAAAGAAGCAGGACTAACCACATCAATGTGATTGCATGTGAATTGGGCCCCGTGAAAACAGTCTTTTCAGTTGATGGGTGTGGAGAAAGGAAATTAGTGAGTCCTGTGGGATGGGGGGATGGAGGGGGACTCCCTGAGTCATCACCATAATCTGACACTGATCAAACCTCAGTTGACCTTAGTGCCCTCCCTGCCGTTTTCCTTTTTAATTATTCCATATTCTACGGACTAATTCGTATTAGAGTTGCCTGATTCAGCAGATAAAACTATAGGATGCCTGGTTAAGTTTGAATTTCAGAGAAGCAACAATATACTAAATGTACTTACACTTTAAAATTATTTGTTGTTTCTCTGAAATTCAAATTTAACTGGCATCTAACAACCCTAACAATAGTTAACCCCTGGTGTGTTTGCTGCATTCTATTGTGAAGATCCTGTGACTGCACTGGTAGGCAGACAGGTTTTCCATAGATGCCATGGGAAGACGTTGGGGCCACTCCATTAGGGGAGCACCCTCTCAGTACAGCTGAGGGCCATAACTTATAGCTCTGCAATAAATATCTATCAATATATTCACATTATGCCACTCATTCTAAAGCATTTTAGGAAGATAATTTTAATATTTCTACCTTTTATAGCTAAATAGTTTTAGACTAGAGCTCTCTACCACCATTGGGAGGCAGGACATATCATACAAGGCAACATGCAGAGAGACAAAGTTAGTAACTAATAAACTATACTGTAATTTTCCATTTGGTTTGAAGGCTGAATGACGGTTTCTAGGATTTGCCTTTTTGTTAATTCTTAGAACATAAAGTAAACAAGAAAGAAGACTGCCACAGGAGACTAATTTTAACAACCACAATATACTACGCAATATTTTTGAGCAACCACCACAGCCAGGCGTTGTACTAGGTAAAAGGAATTGTGGGAGATAGTGGCCATTGCACAATAAGAGGTTACATTACCCTCAACTGCCAAACTGCCTTCGCTTTCCCTGCTAGATACTTACAGAGCCCTGTGTTCTTCAAACACTAATCACAGCTCGAATTACTAGACACTTATGTCTTCTCTATTAAAATATTAGTCCTGTGAGGACAGGAATACCTGTCTTATTCACTGTTGTATCCCCAATGGCTATCTCTATGTGTATAGTTATCTATTGCTGCAGAATAAATTATCCCAAAATTTAGTAGTTTACAGCAACAGTAATCATTTATTGTCCCTCACGGATTCTGCGCATCAGGAACTGGCTCAGGGCACAGCACAGCTTGTCTCTCCTCCACAATGTATGGGGCCTGGAAGACTCAGAGCTGAGAGCTGGAACCATCTGAAGCCTCCTTCACTCACACGCTTGTAGTCTGATGCTGGCTCTTGGCCAGAACACGTACACACGGCTTCTCCCTGTGGCCTGGGCTTCCTCACAGTATAGAAGCTGGGTTTCAAGATGGGGGGTGGGGGGTTGGGCCATGAAAACCTTATAAAAACAAAAAAGAAAGTGGCCTCCAAGCATAACCGAGTCAGACTGAAAGGGCCTATTGAAAAAAGATGGTAAGGGAGGACATGTTCACGTTAATGAAGCCTGTGCTGCTAGGAAAATGAGCCCAGAATGGACAGACACTGTGGGGTGATTGACAGGCAACAAAAAGGGTTAATCTGGACATAACTAGAGCAAGCACCGGAAGGGACAGAACCGTCCTGAGGAAGAGGCAGTACCTGGTTAAAGTGTAAGACAGAAAGACAGAATTTGGTTACAAACTGTTTGAGTCAAAAAGCATCATATAATCCAGTTATTTTCGACCACCTATTTGGAGATGCTGGAAGGGTGCCTGGACGGTGAGGAAACAGGGCTGAGCCCTTCACACCGACTGTGGCCAGGGACCTTTTTATATCCAGAGAGAAGTACTGATCGATTTATAAAACCCCTCCTTTTGTAAGTCGTGCATGACTGGGAAAGGTCAGAGCTAGAAAGTAGCGGAGACCTGAATGTCATGGCGTTGCTTTTTGTGCTGCACAGCAGTGCCTCTCCTACTCTGCCTCCATCTTCTCCAACAAAAAACAAAGAAATGGGTGGTGTGTAAGGATGGAAGGCTGTAACTAGTCAGATGAGAAAGGTATAGGGCCCAAGAGAGGCCTAGAGGAATCACGTCCTTACGTGTGAAATTTGCAGGTATGATTTATATCATCAAAATCATTGGCACTGGCCCCTTCCTTTCTCCTCTCCTCCTCCCCCTTTCCTTTCTTTGTTTTGTAGGATTCTTTGTGCCCCTACCTCTTTATTATGAAAATTACTGTACATACACACAGAAAAGCTGAAAGAGCTTTGATACAGTGAATACTCATATACTCTTCACCTAAAGTTTAGGTCCTAAACCAGTGATGGCGAACCTTTTGAGCTCGGCCTGTCAGCATTTTGAAAAACCCTAACTTAACTCTGGTGCTGTGTCACACATAGAAATTTTTTGATATTTGCAACCATAGTAAAACAAAGACTTATATTTTTGATATTTATTTTATATATTTAAATGCCATTTAACAAAGAAAAATCAACCAAAAAAATGAGTTCACGTGTCACCTCTGACACGCGTGTCATAGGCTCGCCATCACTGGTCTAAACTATATGACATTAAACTGATGGAAGCTGTTAGCAGAGCCCAGCAAGGACCCACGATTCAGAGTCAGAATGATGGACTTGACAATAAGCTAAGTGAGTGGGAGACACTGCCATTCACAGGATGTTCAGTGGTGAAAGGAACAAGAAATCAAGCCCACAGCATCTACTAAATGCAAAAAGATTTACACATGCGCCTTTTAGATAGCAGGCACACGGAACTTCCAATGGCGTGAGGTTCTCAGCAATCTTCCAAATGTAAACAAAAAAAAATGTGTGTTAGCTTATGTTTTTTGTACAGGTCAGGCTCTTCAAACTATTTTTCATGTATTAATTTGTTGCTATTTCACAGCTAGGTTATCAATTGAGAAATACTCTTTTCATATTTTACAGGTGAAAATCCATGACACAGAGAGTTTAAGTAACATTTCCAATGTCAAATGACCGTTAGTAAACTAAGTTGCTGGGATTAAATTCCAAGCAATTTAGCATCAGCGTCCATCCTCTCACAGTGGAAGTTCATCCTTATGGTCCACAATTCAATAAGTTGCACTTTGCAATATTGAAACCCCCTTTGTCAGTCAGGAAGCTAAGACTGGCTTACATGTACAAAGTCCTTCACCCTACATGATGCTTTTACATTTGATTTCCCAACAACCAGTGGGGAAGGGAGAACAGGAAGAACCACACAGCTTACATGAGTTGTCCAAGGCAAAATAGCTTGTTTCCCTCTAGTGTGTGTCTCTCTCTCTCTCTCTCTCTCTCTCTCTCTCTCTCTCAATATCTATTATATGCCAGTACAATTAGGCACCAGGGCTATAATGATGAACATGACAGTCTGTGCCATCAGGGGCTTAGATTTTAGACAATGAATCACCGGGTCTTACAAACTTTATGTGGAATGAGACAGCAAGGAGCACTGGCCAGTAGAGCTCATTCCTTCAGCCAACAAGTAGTCACAGCCATCACGTACCGCATGCTTCTGTGTCTCTCTTGCATACATCTCATTTAATCTTTGCAAGAATTATATGAGGTAGGTATGGCCATGCTCCTCGTTTTACAGATTTAAAAATGTGCTCAGGATCATAACGCTGGGAAGTAACAGAGCTGGGGGTTCAACACTAGGCCTGTGGGGACTCCACTACACTTTGTGTGCAAGGCGCTGCGGTAAGGACAGGCGGGGTAAGTGGACAGGTCACGGCTAGCTAACTACAGGGCATGGATGAAAAGAAACAAGTTGGAAAAAAGGCTCAGGGTTCTGCTAAAGGATCTCTTTATGGCCTAGAATTCAGAAGAGCTGACTAGAAAAGTAAGCACATGTCAGGTACATGAAACGAGAGGAAGAAGAAAAAGGTCAGAATTTTTATTTATAAGAAACTGCTGTGTAATTATTCACAAAACATGTTTTGGTTTTTATACTTTAAAAAGACTTTAAAATATGGGTCATTTATTTAAAAAGAAGCCTAAGAGGATCTGATGGAGTTTTAGATACGAACATGCTTTGAAAACTAGTCAGTGCAAGGCATGCTTTTATAACATGAAATTACATTGTCACTGTCTTTCAAAATGTGCTCCATCGGGTATTTGACAGACTGTACGTGGCACTGTCATTCTCTTCCTGTTTAATCATTTGTGAATCCATTAGCTTTTTTTTCTGTTTTGTCAAGATGGACAGGGAAGGTTTCTTATTAGTTCTGAAATTGATCCTGCAGTAGACTACAACTATTCCAGGTCCTGAACTAAAGCAGAAGCGTGTCTTCCTCTCTTGCTGAGCATGAAATGAAGGGGCCCAGCAGTGGCTCAGACTCAGCCTCAGAGTCTGTGTCAGTCAGGACTCCTTTTGCTCACCAGCACCAGAAGCACAGCTCAGATGGGCCTACACGGAAATGGGGCCTTACTGGGTGCACATAATTAGAAAGTTCAAGAGTATGGCAGAATGCAGAGGCTAACCCGAGTCATGGCACTCGCTCTCGCTCTCCTGTCAGCTCTGCTTGCCTGGCAGTGGGCTTTGAGCTCAGGCAGGCCCCCTCAGGTGAGGGTCCCTGGAAGCTTCCTGCCCACACTGTGCCCAACATCACATCTCACCTCTGGTGTCACATAAAAATCAAAGAACTCTTATCAGAGGATAGGAAGTGGATGCTGGTCAGACAAAAACCACCCGACTACCACAGAACACTCGTATGGAAGTGCACTGCTTGGGCTGGGACTAAATGACGAAGAAACCACCCTGGGAAATGTTCAGATTCAAATCAACAGTAATAACCCTCAGAGTAATTTCCTGTTGAAGGATGGGATTGCATAGATCACGACAGACGACAACTTTGAGCATCTTAAATACAGTGATGGGCACGAAGGAAGTTTTTGCTTTGTTTTGTGCCCTTTCATTTGGTTTCTAAGCATTCCCAGGTAATTTTTAGGCTTTGGAAAGGAGAGTTCAAAGGTGAAACAGGGAAAGTTCAGAGGAGGAACATATTGCTTAATGCTTGGAGGCAGGAGATAGAAAACAGGATCAGGAAGGTCAGGGCACTGGATCAGGATCAGCAAGTCTTTCCTATAAAGGGCCAGATAGTAAATTGAAGGTTTCACAGGCACATACATACATGCTCTGTCTCAATTACACAACTTTCATGCCTTGGTAACATGAAACTATCCAAAAACAACTCTGTATGCTATTGGAATTAGGTCACTGGATCAGATCAGCAAGTCTTTCCTATAAAGGGCCAGATAGTAAATTGAAGGTTTCACAGGCACATACATACATGCTCTGTCTCAATTACACAACTTTCATGCCTTGGTAACATGAAACTATCCAAAAACAACTCTGTATGCTATTGGAATTAGGTTGGTATCTATATATATAAAAGCCTACTGTTCGACCAGTAGCTATGATACACACTGACCACCAGGAGACAGACGCTCAATGCACAGGCATGGAAACATGGAACAGACTGATGAATCTCAGAGGAAAGGGAGTAGGGTGGGAAGAGATTAGCCAAAGATCTTATATGCATACTAGAGACCCAGTGCACGATTCGTGCACCAGTGGGGTCCCTCAGCCTGGCCTGCAGGGATCGGGCTGAAACCAGCAGTCCAACATCTCCCAAGGGGTCCCGGATTGCGAAAGGGCGCAGGCCAGGCCTAGGGACCCCACCAGTGCATGAATCTGTGCATTGGGCCTCTAGTTTAGTTATAACTGGATTATTTT